TAGCATGTTGAGGATATGAAACATGAATTGACTTTATTGCATATACTGTAACATCCATAACTGTCTACAGCTGAGTAAGAAACTCAGAACAGAGTAGCGCTGCTCAGCTGCCTAGCACCAAATACCTTCATATAAGCAATTAAAGTCCTTGTTCTCCACTTAGCTGCTAAGTTACGGTACATCCAGTTTTTCTGAGGACACTGGCACATGGCTAAACAAAACCGGCATTTTCCAGGTCCCTCCAGTACTATGCTCAGTTATTATCACCATTTAGCTCCATGGTTCCACACAATATGATGGATGTTTTTCACATTAAGCTCCCCAGGACATTTGGCAGATTAGAATATAAACGTATACTGCCCACTGTGGCCACAATTTAAAATCTGTAATCTGTAATCTGTAAGTCTAAAATCTGTAAATCACAATTTAAAAAGACTGTAAGGGTCAGCTACTGTACATTAATACAGGCAGAACTTCCGACCTTGTCAGAATTCACACATTTAAAACAGAAATAAGAGAAGGGTGGACAAACCTTTGCTGCGAAGAGGGAAGACAGAGAGGAGACTTGTTCTGGAGAAGGGAACATCTACTGTAGGACTGTCCTGAATAAAGGTCATATCTGGGTAATGTGGGCTCCTGAGGTGCTCTCCCAAGCACAGGGTGAACTCCATGATCCAGGTGCTGCGGGATCTGGGGTGTGTGGGTCATGTCAATAGCCAGCTATGATCAGGATCCTCTTGATATCTACACACAAATTGCCAACAAAGCTGAGGTGAGAGTATCTTCCATGGGTCTCTTGGCCCCTGGTGACAAAGCGATTCTGAAGCTCCCTGGGTGCTTGCAGGCCGGTGGTGCTGGAGGTGAGGAACACGCCTCACCTCCAATTGACTCTGAACCTCCTGCCCAGCAATGCACTGTCAGCCACTGTAAAATGGCAAGTGGCTCAAAGATGGTTGGGTCAGAAACATCTGCCTACTCTTCCTCATTATCCTTCATGTGAGATTTCATAAGCTGAGACATGAGAAACACACAAGTGGCAATTCCACATTGTGTGGACAGCTGCTGTAGTGTGTACAGTTTTAATACAAATATTAAATTATCTATCCCCTACAGTTCCGCTCTTAGCAAAAACCAGATGAGATTGTTTTTAGGGCTAGCAAAGGTGTAACACATTGTCTTCAACTTACATCAAAGAAAGATTCAGGCCGTAGGTTAATAAGGAAATGAGGTAAGAGGGCCAAAGGAAATGGTTCAAGGATGCACTCCATCACAGAGAACATTAAGATGTGAGGCAGTGACATCATGTTCTAGCTCAAGACAGACACATAACTGATCTCACTTTCAGAAAAAACATCATACCCTGGAGGCAGACAAATGGCAGAAAGAGGAAGAAAAGAGACTGAAAGGTCTAGCCTTTCTTTAACCAATTCTTGTGGGGTCTGCAAAGAGAGTCTGTGGTTGTTGAAATGGTCTTCACAGCCATGAGCAGACAACTATATCCCCCAGCCTGACCTGTGGGAAGTGTTTTCTCAACCTTTCATTGTCTAAGAATTTGATGCAGCTGGAAAACAAACTCAACCTCAACTGTGCTGCCACAACTCAATAAGCAAAAAAAGATTATATTTCTATTGATCTTACATGCTAGCACACTGTTTCCTTTATAGGAAGGCATTTTGGTCCCACGACTTTGTGTTTCAATGCTGCTCCTTAGGTAGCTCGATATACAACCAATTTCAAAACCCTTCTCTTGACCTCCAAAGAACTAAATCAGCTCAATCAAGACTCATTCCTACCTCACTTTTACTCTACACCTTAACAGTTCTTACAATTCTGACTTGGGGTGGGCCCCCATGACAAGACATAAGACTGGGGGACACGGCTTTCCATGGATTTACACCTAAATCTGCCTGAGACTGTGTGAGCCTTTCCATGCTGTCTTCAAAGGCTATTTTAAAAAAACATTTCTTCAGTAAGGCATTTCTAGCAAGTTGTCATACAGAAGTGCTATTTTTCTTTGTGTGCATCAACATACTGTATTCATTCTAATGTTACCTCCACTGTAAATGGCTTTGAGATGACTTGACATGCTACACAAAACAGAATTACTACTGACATAAAATTTGTTGCACTCTATTTTTGAGTATATTGTTAGCACTTATCCTTTCTTTAAACCATTGAAACAGGGATGTTGGTAATCGTATTTAAAAAGCATTTGGTCAAATTCAAGTATATATTTTACACAACATGTGTTCATACATTTTAAAAGTATTGTATATTTAGATCTATATTTGTATAAAGGAAAACACAAATATTAATTGTATGCACTATCGCATTTCCTACAGTGGGAAACTTAATTTCCCATGTGCTTTACTGTAGGATTCATTGCTTATCAGATCTGGCACTCTGTTATTTTGTGTACATTTTATCTAAACCCTCAGAGTAAAGAACACAAAACAGGATTACCAGTATACTGTATGTGTCACACAACATTAAGTCATTACCTCCCTCGTACCAACATAACATCCTTCATATTGACAAATGTGTTCTTTCCAGATGATACAGCAGTCTCAACAGCTACAAAGCACATGGTTTTCATAGAAAATAATTAGGAATTGCACTAGATCTGAGGATAAAGATGAAAAGGCAACACTGGCACAGAATCCTAGGATGTGACTTGTGTGTGATGAAGGAGAGACTACAGTAACACAGGGAATGCATGTACAGGTAATAGGACCTAGGACTACACCAATCAAAAGGGAAAACAGGAATTATTCATTCTGCTTTTTCAGTGTAGAATACACATGGATCTATGAGCACCATGTTATTTTGTTCAGATAACAATGAAAACATAATTCAGAACATTGGTTTTCAGCGGAATAAAAGGTTTTGTGTTGGAGAATCCATTTCTATCAGTCTTTAAAAAATGGACTATAACATTTCTGTACATACACTAATTCTTAAACGCGTCTTTACCGTTAAGAAGGGAAGCTAAATAAGTTCTTCACCGGTTGATATACTTTCACAAACACAGGGAAACAAGGGTTTGAAAAGATCTCTAAAAAAGATTTAGTCCTGCTCAAATCAATCTGCAAGCAAAGGTTCAAATTATCCCAGTGTATATGACACTTTTGAAATAGCTGGCAACCTGAAAGGACAAAAACAATATTCCTGAGCTTGAGAAAAAAAATAGCACCTGAAGACTGATACCTGTATTTACAGTTACTTCTTCCAAAACTATAGAGTTCAATACGCTTCCACCAAGCAGAGTGCACATTGCTTTACACATTTGGACAAAAAAATAGATTTGTGTTTCCTAAAATGCGATATTTTAACCACAAACAGCTACGTACCGTATGAAACAGAGTAACTATACAGCTTTAAAAAAAAAACGTTTGAAGGAACATCCGATTCGCATCTAAATTTAAACTTACTGTAAGCATATTTACAAATGGGTCGCGTTCGCGAATATCGGCTAATTAGCTTTTATTATGAATTAATACACCGAGTCAGACGTTTCCTTGACTGTAATATTAGAGAGTGTCGAAAGCTAGGTTCCCTGAAACAACTGGAATTATCAAGTTTTGATGTCGGTTTAAGGTCTTCTAAAACTTTTCATGCTGAATGGGTGCACACAGGATTCATATACAAATTATTTAAAATACTAGGTTTTAAAGATAACCTGGGGTTACGGACTGATACATTATGCATAGCTATGAAATAAAGTGCAGGGCTTATAATGGGCTGTGAATTCATTATGAACCCGTCTAGAAGCCAGCGCTTGACGCATTACTCTGGTTCATTGATAAGCATAAAGGGCGAAAGAAAACAAGAAAGCAATAAAAAAAAAAACAAGAGGTCTTCACTTTGAAGTAGCCTTCAAAAAAGCATCTAGCGTACACTGATCAGTCACAAAAGGAGCAAATCACATATAGACCGTAGACATTATGCGCAGAACTATGGAACACAAACTTGCAAAGTGTCTCTACCAATAACTACTATTTTAAACAAAAGAACAGACTCACGGGTTGTGAAATATAATGCTGTAATCGGTTTCCTGTTTTCGTACTCTTCGTTTTACAAGCCTTTGCTTTACACACTGGAACCGGTAAAGAGCAACGTACTGTATCTCAAACCTGATGTCTCTTCTCGGGGAAAGAATATACTTCAGATGAAAGGCAAGCGTTTCAAACGAGGAACAATTCTTAACTGTTAAAAAAGTAAAATCTATAGCCTGGCTGAACGATATAAACCTACACGGTTTGAATAGCCAAAGCCGAGAATCGTGTGCACGTTCAGAAATGAAAGTCCGCAAATCTTTCTACATCGGTATTTATTGAGAAGGCGGATAAACGCCTGCTTGCGCCATTCATAGAGCATTTGAATCAAACCCATGTTATTAAATTCGCTCACGACACTAAGTAACCAAGTTTTGTAAACCTGTGCAGCTCAGGTGTAACAAATGAAGAGCTAATTCCCGTCTGAAATTGCACAGTCGTTTTAAGGAAGCAGACGTAATTTTTGAAAAATCCAGTGACTCTCTGAAGCTTAATGGTATTACAAGATTTCAAAACTATTCACGTCCTCTTAAGCAAAAGATCTTAAGTCCGCTCCTATTTTCCGTCAAACTACGTTTATTTGCTATTCAGTCTTCAAGGTTTTCAAATGGAACAGCCTCGACATAAATGCCAACTTTTAGCGTGTTCCATGCTTACATCTTTAGTGAATGATTTTGGGGGGAGAAACGCTTTCTCTGAAGCATTCAGATGAAGGTGAAAACTAAAATGGGTGAAATTTCGCACAAACGTTTGTACAACTATAACGTACACAGGTGCACTACCATCAGTATAAATAAACTATATCGAATATTATCAAGCTCATCAAAAGCAGATTCTTCGGCGGAGCTACCCATGCCTATAAAAATACTTGCTATCATCTTTAAAAAAACTGTCACAACCCTACAAAAAGCATAACGATTGAAAACGGATAAAGAGTGTACTTACAGGCTTACAGCAAGCTATCCCAATGCCTTCTCTGTATCTCCTTGGTGTTCGGTCTGTAAGTGAAAGGCTTGTGGCTCATATATTTACATCGCTTTGCTTTGGTTTAGCAAACACATCAGAGAATCCGACAGAAAACCCACACATTTACCGTAATTTACATGAAACAGCTACAGTAGACCGCTCCACTACCGTAACTCATCGCCTATACAACGTCCTTAGAACTTTTCAAAGACAATACATTCTCTCCAATTTATGGATGTTATATTTCGCATTTTTTATCATCACTTCAGAGTAAAAAAACTCATTTTTGCAAATAGAAACCACTGAGTATTGTACAGTACATACAGTATGCACACCATGATACGCATTCTTAAAGTTCCTTTACCTCATTTACGCACCACTCAGCACTATACAGAAAGACTTTTGTTTTAATTTTGGCCATTGGTGCATCTTGCTAAAAATAGCAATTAGGCTAAATCGAAAAATTAACTGTTTTCGTGCCGTATCGTTTATCAGTTTATCAATAACACATTTGACAGTGAACTGCGCTGAATAACTATTCTTTTTGCAATAATGAGGCCGCGATTTGTGTTTTTCGTTGAAAAGCATGATCCCAGAAGCGGACTAAGAATGTACATTTCCTTTTTCACGCAAAGCGCGAAGACAGTATTGTTAATATTATATGAGACTGGCCGAGCAATAAAACGTTCAGAAAACAGTATGGACTTACTGGCGTCCTTTGTCAAACATTTTTCAATGCATTTATATGTCTTCAGCTCTCCGACGCCCTTTTATTTCTGTCCCTTATGTTCTGTAACGTTAAGAAGCATATTCCAGAGAGGTCTATTACACAGGACTCAACTAACATGTAACTCTGAGTTTATGAATGAAACACAGCTGCAAAATCAGAATCTTAAATCTTAGAATGTACCATGGGAACTAAACATGTAGGAACTGTCATTGCTATCAAGACTGTTCTAAAAAACAATTGTTCAAGAAGGCTGAAATAGGATTGCTGCTCATTAAAACTGTGCATTCTACTGTATATGGGGTAGATTATATTTAGTTTCCTTCACTGACGGATACTCTTCCTCAGGAAATATCTGCATGGGGAATTAGGAAGAAGCTGCAGTGCGTGGCTGTTACTTCTACTAAAATCATAATTAAAATACTTGATAACTTGGAATGGATTGACTCACAGCATGCACATTACCACTATCCACATTTGTTGTCCAGTATTATTTTGGGATTGTTTATTGCCAATTGTCTTTTTTATAGAAGGGGATGATCAGCTCATAAGAAAATTCTTTGTTGCTTTCCTTCGCTTTGGTGATTAGAAACAAATAAGTGGACAGGTAGCTTCTCCTTGTCTACTTGTTCAGATTGTTTATGGAGAATTTAACCGGCTTGGTTAGAATCATCATTACTCTAACAGAAAATCTTCAGCTTATCAAAATCTTTAGAAAGATGATTCTAAATTTGATAAATTACCTTTTTTTTTTTGCTTGACATGCGACTGTTAATATTGTATAAAGGAAAAAACAGGGGAGAAAGACATTTTACATTACTTTCAATGCATTAATAGAGACATACTGCCACACGATTTTCATCAGAAAAGACTTCACACTACATGCACAAGAAACAGCCAGAGCATGCCATTTGTTATCCTGGTGAAACTGTTTAAATGAATGGCTTTGATGGTATTCAGAGGAAGCTTGGAGCCTAACAGTACTTAATTCTGCAGTAAGAAGCCTGCTTAATTTTCACCCACACAGACATTTCAGACACCCTGATTTCTCCTGCAGCTTTGCTGGTCTTCATTGCCAATCAGCCTCCAGCTTCACAGAGTGAGAGAAAACATCACTAGACCTCTTTCAGAACTACATGAACAAATAGCTGCATACATTCCTATATACTGGAGCTAATTAAAGCATTCTGCATCCCTTTCAGTCCCTGGGCATGCCAGCATGCAGTGCATATAAAACCCTCCTTTAAATTATGCAAAAGAACAAGTTGCAATGAAATTTTAACAGGAGTTTAAATATTTTAGTTGTCTTTTTGTTATTCTTCTTCTCTTCAAAATAAATATTCAGGGGAGTCTGAAGAATGCTATGATCTGTAACCTACAAATATACAGAGAGAGGGAAGGAAAGGAAAGAAAAGGTAGTTAGTTATGTACATTGGAAGCAAACACATTGATAATTTTATCAGAGATTAATTTTGTGCGTGAATCACTCAGTGAGATATGATTTTAGTTTTTGAAGAAAGGAAAAGCCCATCTTCCACTCTGTCCATCAATATTATCCCATCACAGTGACAGTCCATTAGAGTAAGTAAAAAAGTAATGGAATTATTAACATTGTCTGTCAATTTAAAAGTAAAATAACAATCCTAGTTGTAGAAAGAGGGATGAACATTTCTTGAAAGGAATCATTTCCTTTCTGGCAAATTGAAATGCGGGCCTCCGGATGTCATGAACGAAATGGCATATAATTAGGTGTGATTAATAAGAAAGCAGAAATCCAACATGGGCTGAGAGGAAAGATAATACAGCCTTTTCCCAAGCAAACCACTGTGATGGTGAAAAGCGTTCATCTTCACAGCAAAAACTGGACTGGATTGGTAATGATTGTTTTTCTAAGATCACTGCTGTTATGGTTGGGTTTTGAAATTAGTTAGTTGCACTCTTGATTTTTAATAGGTCGTGAGGTTCATTTCCCATTGAACAGTTCAGTTTTTAGAAGGCCCAAAGATCTTTTCCCTCAAGGTAGGTTTGACCTGGGCATGAGAGCTTAGTGTCCCAGTCTGTTTTTAATGGCTTTTTATATACATTGGCCTTTCATCCTGTGTAGAGGAACAGGACACATTCTTTGTAGAAAAATATGCTCTGGTTCACATAGTACACATTTGATACACAGCTGTCTCTCCCGGCTGTGCTTTCTAGAAGAGCACATTGTAAGAATAACAAAATCTAGATTCTCAGACACAGACTATGCTGCCTTTCCAGTTTTTATTTAAAAATAAAAGGATAGCCATGGATGTGAAGCATTTAACAACCTCTGAAAGAGATGGAGATACAGTTCCATCTGGATTAATTCATACTGTACATGACTATAAAAACAGAAGGAAAGATACAGAAATATCAAAATGCAAATTTTCTGATAGCATATCTATTTTATGTGTAGAATCCAGTTCTTATTTCTTATGTAAAAATGTAGTAGCAGCAGTAGGCATGGAGGTACAGAGGTTGTAATAGTATACAAGTGCCATCGAAAATCGTTCTGGCATATTTTACAAAATAATTCAGAACACCCACATTTAACATGATTTCCTTTTCCCTGCTGAAGAAGGATGATTTAGAGCTACTTTTAAACAGATGGAACATGTAACAGAATGTTCTCATATTTTCACATTTCCCTGCCTAAGTATCAGATATAAAAACAATAAAAGATAAACATCCCCAGTGAAAACAAACATCTCTACAGACTCAAATTGAGTTTGCACCTTGAATAATAGTTTGTTGGGTTTTTTTTCTGGATACTGTGAAACGTTTCCTCTCAGCTGAAACTAACATTAAATATCACAGTGGGGGATTGGTAGTGAAGAAGAAAAAGTGCCTCCCCAAGTCAAACCTGTAGACTGCAAACTGCTGTCTCACCTCTGCACAGAAAGCCTATGTGCACACTGTTCACAGCTTGTGCCGAGACAAGCCTCCTATTCACAAAGTGTGCCCAATGTCTTTCATTTATTCTCAATCCACCTTCTCTCCCCATTTTCCTACAGATAACAGTAATGTTGACCTAAGGTAAAACTACCCAAAGCATTTCAGCCTGTAACAAAACATAGAGCAAGAAGAAAAGGAAATTGTAAAGCATCTAATACCTATTGCATACTATATACAGTATACATTAGTAAGTATGTAAAACTATCTGCACAGTGTAGAATCTGCCTGTCACCACTTCCTTTGAGGTACAACTGTCTCCTGACATTGAGCATGATCTACTCTACTGAGTTGACTAACATTCACATAAAAGATTGGAATGAGATAAATACAGTATTTCTCCTTATAAGATTACTCAGAGCATTTGAAATGGTAAAGAATAACAGTAGAATAAAACCAAGTCAAGTGAAATTTCCTCCCAACATCAATCTGACTTTATAATGTTGAACCTATTTAAAACGATTTCACAGAACAGAGAGAGAAAGGCACTCTGAGAGAAGACTGTAACCAGGTCCTTGGTAAAGTTCAAATAAAAAATACAAGCATCAATTTAGCCCTTAATCACAATTTTCTTATGCTTACTCTAGGCACAGTAACACATTGTATTAGCCTGCACTTTCAGTGTGCATGTCTGGCCTTTGTTAGTTTCATATTTGTTTTAAATGATATAGTTATTTAGAATTATATAACTGCAAAAAATATATATAATTCAGCCACCTAATAAGCAAATAGCCAAATCCAAAGCTTGCACTGTGAAACAGCTCATGTCAGAACTAGTAGACTAACTCACAGTTAAAGACACAGTGGATGGGCTCAAGGCTAACAAGGCACTAATGCGGAGCAGGTGCTTGAACAGAAATGAACAGTGATAAAAGTAACTCTTGCAGCACTCTGACAACCAGACCCCCATTGTAGACTTCGTACAGTGGCAGAAAAAGATGACACAGGACATACTTCTTCATGGGAGTTTGATGCTGAAAAAATCCCTGCCCCCTGAGGCCACGCCTTTAATTCCCTCAGTAAGCCCTCCCTCTTTGCCATCTTGAACATGTTGACACCATCACAAGTCTACCCACACTGGTGTCACGGTGTCCACCACACCCTGGCCTGGGCACATGTCTGTGACAACACAGCTTTTTTTTCCTTACAGGTCCTATTCGGAGCGTGTTGTGTAAATTTAGACAACAAAGGCAATTTCATTACATAAAGGATTGCCGTGTAGTTTGCAGGAAATGATTATCATTGGCTATAAAATAAAGGATATCTCTAAACTTTTTATGCACATTATGGGTTCATTGGGGATAGGTACCTCTCACAGAATGATCGGATGTTGTCTGAGCTTGACTTGACGGAAGTTCTTCTATAATGGCTTTCTAGAGAAAACCAACACTTTTGTACTCCGGCCATATTTAATTTTCCCTCACTGAGTGCTTTGTCGCCTCCCACAGATTCATTCGTTTTCATTCAATCTTG